AAACGTTCGATAAATTTTTTGGGACACTGTATTATGCGAAAATCTATTTGACAGTGATATCTGCGAACCGCCCATATCAGAAAACGACTTGTTGGATCCATTCCCGTCGTAGGTTCGTCAAGAAGAAGGAGATCAGGATCACCAATGAGTGCTTGCGCCATCGACAACTTCCGCTAAAAATTGACTTGTGACAAAATCCAAGTCTATTCAGTAGGCAGCTCCGCCCTCAGGCCAATCAACCTTTGTACCACCACTCAGTGCCTGTGATTTCGTGTCGGCGTACTGGGATATACCAAAGATTTCCAGAAGAAAGTCAACCACCTAAAAAGGTTTGTGAAACCAACTTGAAACACGAACAAGCAAACTTACTTCAGGAATACATTTTGAAGTGTATCCATGGATTCTCGCCAATAGTTCTAGGTGTTCTTTTGTGGTTAGTTCACCATAGAGGGCGTCAAACTGCGGACAGTAGCCAATGCGTGAAAAAACACTTGCACTAAAATCATAAGATATAGATTTTGTAGCATAGTTAGAAAAACTGTCATTTTTGGCAGTTGTAGATCGTACCCAGGAGTAACCACACTGCTTCCAAGAAAAACGGCACCTCGATCAGGTGGCTGCAGCCCGCATAAAACTCGAAATGCACTAGTTTTTCCCGCTCCGTTCACACCTGAACCAAATTGCAAGAAGAAAGTACATTATTCCACAAAGGAGATGATTGGACTTGCGACATAAAAATCACCTATCAAACCAAAACACTCTCCTGGTAGAACTCCCCAAGACACATCACGAACAGCATGGGTAGGTTTGGAAAAGAGTGTTCGTCGATGACACTAAAAATCTGCCAAGTAACAGCACGACAAAATATTAAAGCGATATAAAAATGAGATAGAAATTACAATACTGCTCGTAACTTGTGAAAAAATCACCGCACTTCGCTGCCGGAGTTCGCCGAACTTTGGTTGCATCGCTATAATTTGCTTCAGAGTGAACGAATTATCAATTCAAAAGCACCAATCAACTCAGCTCGATGAAATGCATCTTTTGGTGTGTAGAAGTGCCTGTTTAGGTACAATAATCGGTCAAATTTCAAGGGCCCCTCAAATTTTTGCTTCTGTAAGTTGATAGCGCAATGGTTCAAAATCGAAGTGAAAATTTGGAAGGGTCCATGAAATTTGGCCGGCTATCGTACCCGAACAGGCAATTCCATATATAAAAAAAATGCATTTCTCGAGCTGACTTGGGTACACTTTTGGGATTCAGGATTCGACCACTTCGAAGCAAGATATGGCCATGAAACTAAAGTTCGACCAACTTTAACGGAGTGCGGTGATTTTTACTCACAAATTACGAGCGGTATTGTATTTTTTGCAGAGATTATTGGGCTTCAATAACTGAGAGATTCTTAAACCATAAGTACGCTATGCTACCCTGTCCGATAATCTTTCTCTTAGCGTATGAAATTACTCAAATCGGTACTTTGAACAAGAGATCCAATAAAATTGATGTTTCGTTGATTCGTTGACCGCACGGACTGCTCAAATGCGCGG